GACGTCGAAGTAGGGTGGGTCGGGCGGGTTCGAACCGCTCCGATACCAGTGTAACGAGCGTGAGGCTGAGGGTGAGCCGAAGGAGAGGAGAGAGAGGGAGAGAGTGAGAGCACACACACACACTCACTCACTCGACATGACGGACTCGGACTGAGGGTCGGACGCAGACACAGTGGCAAGGCACAAAGTCGAAGTCTTGTATTCCGAATGCCGAAACAGCAAGTCACACTGAGTACGAGTACAGCCGCAGAGAACTGGTACGAGACTGCCCCCGTACCGTACGGGGGGCCGGTATAAGTACCGGTGACACGTACGGTACCAGGGGCATTTCTGCAAAGGCCCCCGAGGGCAGAACTGAAAAATGCAGTATTTGAAAGTGGCGCCCGAATTGCAGCATGGCGCCAGTTGTCCGAAATCCTACGGTACCAAAGGAGGAGTTTGGAAAAAGGGCGCCAGGCCGAAAACGGGATGCAGCTGAAACAGCAAAAAGATAGACCAGGGATCGAGCCCTGGCGAAGTCCGTAACAGATACTGCAACCTCAAAAACAAAACAGTTGTTTTCAATCTTTTGTTGATGAGTTATTCATGAACACCTCCTTAAAAAAAAATAAAAACGGCGACAACAAACTCTTACTGAACACCTCTTAATAAATATGGTCATTGAATTGACCTGCCCCAGGTAATTCAGAATGATTTACTTTGGTCATCTCTTTGTTACTGGATACAAACTTGGGTCTGTATTTCAATTTTCAACAGTTTGTGGGTGTACCGAGCTAGGCCCGTTCGTACGACCTCATTCTCCATTTTCTGTTTCGTTTCCCCTTTTTTTCAGAGGAAAGGGGAAGTGTATTTGACATCGTGATGATAATTTATTATTGAGCTTCAAAGATCTTGAAGTCTTGAGGACTTGAACCCTTAAAAACCTATGGACAATCATCCATTCATCCATGAGGCATGTATGCTTGATCTTCTATTAAGAGTTCGGAGTACGTCAAACAGGGGAGAGAACATGAAAGGGGGAAAAACAGGGTGATACCGGTGATCATGATGTGAATTCCACCCCAGCGGTGTTACCTTGTCATTGGCTCTTTTAATCATATGATATAGTGAGGCGTTCATGTCAACTAAATACATTCATGATCGCTTCTCTTTGCAGACAAAGGTAAAGAAGAGGGAGGACAGAGATGCGGCATCCATGTACTTGAATGCCCTCAAGTGTTATGAGACGGAGAAGGTCGTTGACCAACGAGCCGTTGTGCAATTGCGTTATGAGCATGGCATACTCCTCAGCAGGCAAGAGGTGTGTGTGCTGGAATGCTATCCAGTCCTCTCTCTGACATGTATGGAAAAGAAGTTAGAAAGAATTCCCTCTGGAGGAATGTAGTTCCAAGATAAGACCCCAATTGAGGAGCAGCACACCAATTCAACATCCGTGAACTACAACACAGGACCGTGCCGTTGTCTTCTTTCTTTCCTCATTTAAATCGCAAATATCCCTGTCATTGTGGTTTTTTGGTGCAATGTGTCTACGTCTCTTGGATTCCACGTTGTCCTCGAAAGTATCATCGTCTTCCTCCATCACATCATCTTCCCGCCTGCTTCATCTCCTCACGATTGAAACATTGAAAAAAGCTGAAACCTTTCCACTTACGCCATGTTCTACTTCTTTCGTCCTCCTCCCCTTCCTACTTCACAAGATGAATAACATTTGTTTGAATTGTTTCCTTCATACATGTTAATAGCTTTCCAACGTTGATTTTGGTACCAGGCGTGCCTATGCCCATTTCGGTGACCAGCGACTACCGTCTTCACCCGAATAGAACGTACGGCCATTATCGCTGTTTCTGCACTGAAAGTTGCCCCGAATACAGCTATAATGACGGGGCATTCTATTCGGGTGAAGACGGTAGTATGAACCTGGCGCAACCCGAAACCACTCGCTACCCTTCACACAAAGGGTAGGATGATCCTGGACTGAAACCAATGTACTCTGCCCCAAAACCACTGCACGCAGGACAAGAAACTCATCAATGACGGGGTGTTGATAAGAGCAGACACCCCCTCTACTATCCCCACTCGTTAGATGGCTCCGTTCCATTGGTGGGGAGCTGCACCTGCTGGAAAACGCGTCCAGTGTCCCTTTACATCATAACAAGGAGCCAGGCAATGTGTTATACATGCCCTTATGTCAAGTTATATACCCTGGACTAAATAAAGGTACCATGATCCTGGACCGAAAGCAGTGTACCGTGTACTAGGATGATCCTGGACCAGAACCACTGCACCTTGACCAAAATCACTGTACCCTGGACCGAAACCTCCTTTTTTTTTTTTTTTTTTTTATGTGGCCCGACGGACCACGGATCAGATATTAAACTGACCAGAACAGATACTACACTTGATCTATTTTTAGCCAAAAGGCCGACCGAAACTTCTTTTAGCCTGGATTCCTGGACCAAAAGCACTGTACACTGGACCAGAAACTCTTTACCCTGGCCCAAAGGTAGCATGATCCTGGACCAGAACCGCTGTACCCTGGACCGAAACCTCTTTACTCTGGACCACGGATCAGATATTAAACTGACCAGAACAGATACTACACTTGATCTTAGCCAAAAGGCCGACCGAAACTTCTTTTAGCCTGAATTCCTGGACCAAAAGCACTGTACACTGGACCAGAAACTCTTTACCCTGGCCCAAAGGTAACATGATCCTGGACCAGAACCGCTGTACCCTAGACCGAAACCTCTTTACTCTGGAGTCTGAACCAAAACCTCTCTACTCTGCAGTCTGGACCGAAACCTCTTTACCCTGGTCCGAAACCTCTTTACTCTCTACCAAAACCACTGTAACCTGGTCTAAATCCACTTTACCTTGGACCAAATCTCCTTACCTTGGACCACAACCTTTTACCCTGGACCAAAACCTCTGTACCCTGGGCCAAAGGTAGCATGATTCTGAACCAAAATCACTGCATCTGGACCCAAACCTCTTTACCCTGGACCAAAGGTAGCATAGTCCTGGACCACTGTACCCTGGCCCAAAGGCATAATGATCCTTGACCAAAATCACTACACCCCTGGACCGAAGAGTAGCAGGATCCTGGACCAAAACCGCTATACCCTGGAGGGCCTGGACCAAAATCACTACACCCTGGACCAAAACCGCTATACCCTGGAGGGCCTGGACCAAAATCACTACACCCTGGACCAAAACCGCTATACCCTGGAGGGCCTGGACCAAAATCTCTTTACTCTGGACCAAAGAGTTGTGTGACCCCGGACCGTAATCACAGTCCTCCGGACGAAAGAGATGCACTGTCCTGGACCAAAACCTCTAAACGCTGGACCTCGTAGGTCTGTTATTCAGGACCAAAACCACTCTACGGTTGACCGAAGAGTGGCCTGATACTGGACAAAAACACTGTACTTCATCCTGCGAAACCACAGCCAAGGGAAAGGGTATGGAAGAATCGGCGGGAAAAGAAGACCCTGTTGAGCTTGACTTGAAGAGGTGTAGAATAAGTGCGAGCTTTACGGTGCAAGTGAAATACTGTACACTGGATCGAAGAGTAGCGTGATCCTAAACACTGTACTCTGAACCAAAGAGTAGCGTGATCCTGAACCAAAATCACTGTATTCAATGTGCATTGGATAAAGATCTGTACACTGGACCAAACCTGGTGAATCAGGCGAGTATAGCGGATGCAATCTTGAGCTACGTGGGAAGGTCGGTATTCACATGGATGTACATCGCACTGCTGTACAAGTTACTACAAATGTTTGCCACCGCCACACATATGACAATAGAAGAAGGTGGCTGGGCCTCTTCTGTGCAGGAATCAGTGAAGTGAGATTGTTCTTCGGTTTGGAAATCGGAACAGCACATCGGTTTTGGCCAAGGGTTTTACCAGTCTTCGGTCCAGGCTACAGTCTTCCCCCGAATACAACGCACGGTCATTATAGCTGAATCTAGACTGATATATGTGCCGAATTCAGCAATAATGACCGTATGTTGTATTTGGGGGAAGACTGTAGTGCTATCATGCTTTGGTCCTGAGTTTGGTCTCTTTTGTCCAGGAGACAGTTTGATGCAAATCTGTAACCACTGGGAGACATGTATCCCAAACACCGCAGCATCCCTAAAAGTGTGTTGCGGGTACTTTTGAACAAATGCGCATCGATTGTTTGGCACAACTTGAAGGTGCTGCTCTTAGACACAGAGGAGTTGCGGGTACTTTTGAACAAATGCGCATCGATTGTTTGGCACAACTTGAAGGTGCTGCTCTTAGACACAGAGGAGAGCTAGGGGGGAAGGCCACAGCGCACACGTATGACGATTCTGACATAAGACTTAGATGACACGACTCACTTCATGAACACAAAAAGAACAGAGAAAAAAAGGATTCAAAGAACGCAATCAAAAAATCTCACAGATAGTTGAGGGTCGTAACATTTGGTCTAACTGCATATGCAGGTTCAAGACTCAAAAGTCATGTCTCCTGCTTCAGAAGGGTCTCAGAAAAGTCCGTTGGTCAATAGGTACAGGGGTCAAGGGTCAAAAGAGGCAACCTGTGCCCTTAGGAAGAGGGAGCTGACTTTAATGAAATTAGGAGTCAGGCCCAACTCGGGAAAAGAAGTAAAAAAGTCAGAGATTTCTCAGGAGTCAACTATGGCCACAGATCTGATGCACAGCAGCAGCTGTCTGCATTGCTCCAGAAGGTAGCAAGGCAAAGGCAGGGAGGCCAAAAAAGACGGCAGAAAAAAGTACAAAGGACCAAAAAAAGGGAAAAAACGAAAAAAAAAAACAAAAAAAAAACTTAACGATGGCGATTGTTGTTTCATCGTCAGACTTGCACTGACTTATCAGGAGGCTGCACCATTGACAATCTCTGGAATCCCCATATTGATGCTTTGGGTCATGAACCCTTTGACCCTTGTTGAAAGCGGACAGCTGACAGCGGACAGCGTGCAGCACAAGCAGGAAAGCAAGGCAATGACAGCGAGGCACACAAGGCAGCACTGACAAAGCAGCCATACTACAAGACAAACAGGTACACTGCTCAGGAAGACAAGGCAAAGCGTGGCATTCTGACACCACACGGGCCCCAGTTAGGGCCCAGTTCTGTAGTTAGGCTAGTTTAGGCCTAGAGTCAGGGGTCACGTCGGTTCAGACCCATAGGTCGGCCCAGAGGCCGAGTAGGCCAACGGTCACAAGGGCCAGGCCGGTACCGGTCCAACGCTAGGACCTACCGGCGGGGCAGTTTGAAGGCAGCCAGGTTTAGCCGCCACTTCTACTTTCAGAAACGGGTCTGAAACGTTGCGGCCGATCAACGGTCCAGACCCGAAGGTACCAGCAGCCTTGAGGCCGGCCCAGCGCTATATCAGCTGGGTACCAGTCTCAGTAGGTTAGGTTAGTCTACAGGTTAGCGCAGTGTTTCGGTGTTAGCATGAGCAGAGCAGCGGAGAGAATTAGCGCAGCAGCGAGGAGGAATAGCGCAGCAGCGGAGTAGCGCCAGCCCTCTGGCCCAGCCCGCGGCCCAGCGTCCAGTCCTGCAGCACCATAGCTGCATCGCCAGGTACCAGGGAGAAAGGCTTCGCCTTTCCTCCCTCTTCTTCCTCCTCCTCTCTCTCTCTCTCTCTCTCTCTCTCTCTCTCTCTCTTCCTCTACCTCTAAGTCCAAGTCGACATCTCAGGTTACCCCTACTGGACTACTACGAGTATGGAGGATGGTTACGACTTACGAGTTCTGATGATATTGGAGATAGCAACATTGAGACTGCAGGTTGAGGACTACTTTTGGGATCTGATTTCATCTACCTCTGGAGATGTATCTTGACATTGTGAGATCGATATCTGAGACACTGTGAGACTCCGTATTCGTGACATTTCGGATTTTCGCTTCTTCTGACATTTCGAGATATTATTTTTGGAAACATTGAGTTGACGTCATCTTCCCTCTCCTCCTCCCTTCGTCTCTCCTCCCCTCCATTCATCTGTGTATGAGAGTAGGCCCTGGCCTTTTCTTTCATGTCCAAGGCCAGGGCTTTCACACCACCGATGCGTGTTTGTGAGAGATTGATTGCAGTCCGAGTCAGGTTTGAGTCAGTCCATGTGTATGAAGTCGTCCGCTGTAATTGTACTTACTCTGTATTATCTGGTCGGTTCTGGGAATCTGCGCCATACTTATGACTGTGTTTCACGAGTATGCAGCACAAAGCAAGCACATGGGCTAGGCAACAGCGCAGCAAAGCGCGCGGCAGCAACAACAAAAAAGAAGCCAAACTGCACAGCACACAAG